TTCTGGACCCGTACTGCACCATTTCCCGTTTTGAACAGATTCATCCCTTTCGAGAACATCGTCCAGCTGCGCAACCCTGCACTCCTACACTGTTTGACTCGTCTAACCGTCTCTTTTCATTCATTCAAATTCGTGACGGGAATTTCGCTCCCTGAGACATTTCCCCGCTCGGCGGGTTGTGCGTGCCGCTCGGGTGGCAGCAGTGGAGAGCCCTGGTCGTCGCAGGCAGCGGCATCTCTCGGGGAAACGGCCAACTCGCTCGGCGTCGCGCTCTCGAAAGCGCGCCACATTCGAACGGACCCACACAGGAGAAAACCTTGCTTGCCCCATTCAAAGCTGCCGCCGCACCGACTCTTTTGAAAATTTTTAGAGCAACATCACCCAAGATGGCTTTAGTGTTTCAGTCAAACCCCAAAAATAACCTTTTGATGTGACGACGATTCAAAAGCGAACGGACCGTTGAAATCAACGAACAGAAATCAGTTTCCATCCTGACCCTGCAGCGCATGGCGACTGGCCAGCGCAGCGGCTGGAGCGGGCCGGCGAGCGCCGTGGAGGTAGGCATCCCATTTGACTCCCCCGCTGCGGTCACACCGAGCGGGCACCGCTGCGCCCGACCCCACTCGGGCCGACTCGGCTGCGCTCGGCTCGACGCAGGCCGTCCACTCGGCTCAGTTCGGAGCACCCCCGATCGGCTCGGCTCGGCTCGGGCCAGTGTGGGCCTGCTCGGCTCGCAACTCTCGTTTGCAAACACTCACTAAGAGTGCGAACCAATTGAACTTGCATCTCTCTGCCCCGCTTCACGCAAGGCCTAGCGTTCGTCCTTTGCCTGCCCATCCATCAAACTTGCATTGGAACAGATCGATCACAGAATCAGGCTCAGCTCAGCTTGGCGAGGCGTCAACCCGAAACAAAGACAGGAAGCGAAGACGGCATGAATGGGTGAGCGCGGTGCCAGCCCGACCGGCGCGACGGCCTTGGGAAAGGGGTGGGGAGGGGGGCGGCCGGGCGCGGTGGCCGGCGCGGGGGAGGGGTGGGGCGGGCAGGGAGGGAGCCGACATAAAATGGCCATACACTTAAGTTTTATGAAGCCACTGAGAGTTGGGGGACCATCGCGGCGCGTGGCCGCTGGGGGCGGCGCGTGGCTGTGGCTGCGGCTGCGGCCGTGCGAAGGTCGGGGACACCAGACACCGGGCAGCGGGTGTTAGAACGTGGCCTTTCAATCTTGTCTACTCTTGACTAATGATACGAATCCATTTGTATTATATTAATTATAATTCTATTAATGGGCAAATATTGTTTGATTGATTTAAGAAAACAGTACTCATCGATAATGATATTGCAATAAATTTTAAACTGACTGAGAAGTCACCCCGTTCAACAACAGACTTAGTTCCAGAAGAATCGAAAGAAGAAGCATCCCCTTTTCCTCTTTGCTCAATCAATCCCACACACGGCAGTACACTGCATGCAGTTAAAATAAGTAGCAACACTACACTGGGTTGGCTACGTACTTACCGCAGGAGACGTCTTCCTCGTCGCGCAGTGCGCGCACTCGCACTGACTCTACTTCACTAGGTCAACGTGGGAGCAAGAGAGAACGCGTGCCGTCAAAACAAACCGTAAAAAGACCCTCCCCCACTCCCTCCCCACTCCGCCGCCGCCGCCGGCCATTACCTAAATCCCTTCAACGTCCTTTATATGTCTATTTGGTGGAGCGGCGATCGTGGCGCGCTCTTTCGGCAACTCCCGTAACTACCTCTTGCCTGATGCTAGTTTACGACGCTGCCGCCGCGCGTTGGCAGCGCTGGCGCGGCGCGGTTCGCGCCTCCGCCGAGGGAGGGCGCCAGCGTCGCCGGCGTCGCTGGCGGTGGCGCGCCCTGGCGGCGCGCGGCCCAAGCTCTAGCAGAGCGCCGCTGGCGGGCTGGCGGAGGAATACAGAAGGGCGAAGGAGACGCGCTCACCTCGACTCGCTGCGGCTCGGCACGGCACGGCTCGGCTGCGCGGGCTCGCCGATGACCTCCCGGAGTCCCTGGCCTGGAGCTTGGTGGCGGCGGCGCATGGCGCGCGGGCTCAGCCCCCGACAGAGTCCCGACGCCGAGTGAGGGCCGGAGGGTGCGTGGCGCTGGCGCGCTGGGGATGGCGCGGCGGGGTGCAGTCTGACTTGCCCCTCCCGCCGTGGGCCAGCCGTGGGCCAGGCCTGGGCTTGCTCGCCCCCGCGTTGTACTAGTATCGACTCCTCCACCCACATCCATCGCAAGAGCTTCCCAACCCCCACGGGCCCACGGGCCCACGGGCTGGGCCCCCACCGCGCGCTGCTTTATTTCTTCTCTCTCCTGTCCTTTTTTTTTTGCGGCAGCTTTAGGGGCGCAGCACTTGGATAGGAACGCCGCAGCGCGTCTCTACGCCGCAGGCGTTGGTTCACGTCGCGCGTCGCGAGGTTTCTTCTTCTTCGGAATGCGGTAGCTGCAATTATTTTGCGGCCCTGGCCGCGTGGCTCCGCGTGGCCGCGCCGAGGCGGACAACGACCGCGTGTCACCGCCCTCGGTCTCTTGCTCTCGGCCTGCCGCGGCCCTCGGCGCTCTCTTTTTCAGCAAACAATGGAAGTCGCGCCGAGCTAGGTCCATTTCCCCGTTCATCGGCAGCAGACATTCACAGTTAAAAACGTTTTGAAGTACCAAAACAAATTTCGAAAAATAAAATCCTTTCAACCTTAAGATTGAAACCCAACTTTGCTAATCAGGAACTCTTCAGGTAAAATTCTAAATGATGTAAAAACTGACGGCTGTTTCAAACTTTTCAGTCCCGCCCTCTTCCGACACCGCAGGCCGTCCCATTTGCCCAGCACTGAGCAAAACTAGGCGAAAACGCCCACAAAAATAGGGAAATAAATCACAGCGACGACCGCCGGGGGTGTTCGTCACAAAACTAATTGATTGATCAGCTGATTGGTTGAACATTGACACGAGACACATTAGCAGGCCGTTGCCGGCCGCGTAACACACGGATCAACTCGTAAAGGAGTCGCCGCAACTTTATAGCGCCGTAAACGGCTCGAGAGTGCGTTCCAAACGGCTGGTTCGCCGTGAGGCCGTCAGGCCGTCACCGGGAGCCGTGGTCATAATCTCGACGATCTGACCGCACGGGACCAGTCCGGTACGGGGCGGGGCGGGGTGGGGCGGGGCGGCGCCGGGGGGACGACACGCCGGGGTCCGTTCTCGTGGACCACTCTGCCGGTGTGCCCCGCGGCGCCGATTGTCTTTTGGCGTTTTTACTCGTTATCTCCGCCACCGGTCTGGCACGCCGCGCTGCGCCGCGCAGTCCGAGTGAGGCGTTTCGGCTACTTCCGACTTGTTATTTGCGTCCATTAGGACCGATAAAGTAAATAATGTCGTGGCGGCTGCGGGCAACGATGTCATTACTGCCCACTCAGAGAGAGAGACACTCGGCCCGCCGGCCGCCCGGAGTGTCTCCTCCTGCTTTTGGCGCCGAGGTGGGAAACGGCCTTGCTAAAAGGACGATTAGGGCGGTTAATTTTTCACCCGGGAAAACACGTTAAAAAGTAAATGATGAGAAATCACGCAGTGCCACCCCCACCCTCTTCAAAAAAAAAGAAATTAGGCCACTGGACATCTGTTTCTGTTTGTGAAGGTGTGCCAGGTAAAGGTGAGCGACGCTTATGGGCCCCGCACAATCATGGCCGCCCTCTATTGTCGTTGTCAATGTAATTGTTGGCGTCCGCCGAGCCCCATTCGGCAGTGGTGGTGTTGCTTTTTGTGGAGTGGGAGTGGGGGGAGGGGAGGAGGGAGGCGCTACATCGGGTCGACAGATGCGAGGGAAAGACAACCGTGCGCGCACACAAACGCACTGTGGCGCGCGCGCGCACACACACACACACAGTGCAGTAGACACCCTCATACGGACGCTACGCGAATTTCGTGCAAGAATGCACTTTCCCTTTAAACCCCACCCCCTTTCTTCCCCCACGTCCTTGCCCACCCAAAATCCCAACTGTCGTGCGAAACAAAAAAAAAGAAAAAATAGATTGCTCTGTTTCGGACGCGGTGGGATTTTGAAAGGGGATAGAGGAAGAAACATGACCCTTATGGGATTGCAAACGCAAATAATAAAAAAGGGCGTATGCCCTCTGTGAATGTTGTGCTACACTCCTATTCGCATGAATCTTTTAGAAGGCGATGGCATATCGCCTTGATGCTAATTCTTAGATGTAGGGTTCTCATGTTTTTCAAATCATGTTCGAAAGAGAATCGTTTTCCTGGGCGCCATGGGTGTCTACACGGGAGCCCATATAAAGCAAAACGACAATAAATACTTGAGGCCCAACGGGAACCAATAACTATAGTATATCAGTCTGACTGAAAATAGAGCTGTCGTCCCAAACTCTGTTATGCCCTTGCTCTGATCTAGACAACTTTCTGTCACGCAAGGCACAGTCGCTAAGCCCTGTGCGGCTCCTGATGGCAAAATCTTTAATTTTCTTCAATGCCTGAAATGTGAAGCGGCAAATTTGCACCGCGACGCTTCATTTCCTTGTTTGCGCAGGGTAGAGGGGTTTGTCGAGGGCCCCGTCCCGCTGGGCTGCTCCAGGGACGCGATGCCTGTTAGCGGCGCGTTCAGCCTTTCTCGTACTTTGCTCCCTTCTCTATGATGAACGTTTGAATAGAGGCCGAGTGGCTGCTGGGCCGGGCGGCCGGGCGGCCAGGCGCTCAGGGCGACCAGCCGGAGCGATACATCTCCGGTGGACAGGTGTGCGGGGAGGCGGTCCGAAGGGGTGCCGTGGTGGGGGGAGGGCAGTGGCCCTCAGGCCGTCGGGCCGCGTCGCATGCCGTCGCATGGTCCACTGGGCTCTCCGATAAATGTACATCGCCTATGCTTTGCGCCCCCAATTTCATCCAAACTCGTTGCTTTTGTAAATGTCGGCTGTACGTCGTTTTTGGAAGTGCATCAATAAAATAAGGTAAAAAAGAAGTTTCTTTTCCTGACGACATTTCTTTTATTTTTCCTCTTATAAATTAACTTGTACTATCCAAGTTATCGTATACAAATGAAATGCGAGTTGCACACCGTCATTTTCACACTGCTTCATGTCAATAAACACTGGGTGGCCTATAGTACGGTACTTTATACATTGAATGATACAGATACAATTAAATAACTTGTTATCATCGAAATTAAAACTACTGTCCATAGCTATGCTATAGCTAAGGCTACAAACAAAAGAAGAAAGTAAAACAAACAACAGACACAGCCAAACTTTAAGTAAACATTGCGTTTAAATTGCACATTCATTTCCAGGACCGTCAAATGAATCTGCCTAATAGTAAACAATGAGCAAATTACGAGACTAAGAACAGTTCATAAAACAAGCACTGCCAACTAGAAACATAGCCAATCTTTCAAAAGAGTGAATAATTTCATACCTTTCACTGGAAAACTCTAGCATACACAATTAAATCTAATTAAAACAAGAAAGGTCAGCAATCTTCATTTTTTCGAGAGACCAGCTACGACATAAGAGTGAAAATTAGGCCTAGACTACATAAACTCGTTTTCAAATTACAATTCTATTGGGAGTGTAATTACGTATTTGTTTTATTGTAAACACGTAGCAAGGACATTGGAAATCTTTGCATTGTGAGGTATGTGTACCGTATACGAACAGCAACGACTAAGTCTCGATTGCTCACATTAAGGAGGTCAATTTTTTGCAAGTCTCAAAAAACCTGAAATGAAAGTACAAAATATTTCATTCAAGGGTATAAATATATATCATATATTCTCATGAAAAGCGTTCACGTCACACATTCTACGTTATATGTATATATTTATAATACAAAATATACACATACAGGACGACCAGACGAGGTGAGACGCTTGCAGACCGTAAGCCTTCAAGACACTCGGGTTACACAGAATAATTATTCCTCAATACTCAACACAATCACAAGTGAGAACCTTTAAATTTCCTTTTTTTGTCCGTGCCGGGGGTCACGCTTGCGATGCGGGGTGAGAGCGACCGAGCACAGCGTGCAGACAAGACCTAGACATTTTGAAGTCTTTATTGTGAGGGAGCGGCTTTTGGGACGGTTCGGATTCCAAGTTACGGAATGTGTTCTTCATCTGTATTCCGCGTCCCTTTGTTTCATATCAACACAATGAAGTCTCAATCCAGCGCGCTTTCCAGCCCGGCCAAACAGGCATTCCGGCATGGGCGCTGACTTGTCTGCACCCCGGGTCATAACCGCAGCCCCCAGCAGCCAAAAATGTTTCTCACGGTATTCAAGAAATACATACAATACGCTCTATATTTACTTCAATAGCCAATGTCAAAATATACCGCATATGTACAAAATGGTATTAACCGTTTTCAATAATTTATTTTAATTGGTAAAATGACTGATATTTAAGACGCACAAAGAACAAGAAATACTGTACACTACAAATATAAACTCTTGGACACTCGAGTGTTTGCAAGTCTAAGCGACACAATTTCTCCCATAAGAAAGCAACAAGGAAACCGCTGAAAGTTATCTCTAATATTGCATAGTTGCACCGCATTTTACAGAGGGCACACGTGCCGAGTAACAATACTCAAATAAAATTTTACAAAACAGAAACAAGACTACAGAAACAAATAACATTGAGTGCGTAGCGCACGTTCCTAAGGTGTGCAGAAACCGAATAGAATAAAATTACGCACTCAGAAATCTATAAAAATGATACTTTAAAAGTTGAAGACTAGATGATCATAATGTTTGCGAAGATGCAGTGTTCAAAAATTTTCACGGCATATATAATTAAAATGAAAAAAGATCAATGTTATGTAAACTGCTAAAAATACTGAAACATGTATCTTTCACAAAATGCACAACACTTTTGGGTAAAATCACTGCACCAACGCTCAGAGGTGATCGAATGACACTTTGCCGTTCATTCCACATTTTATTTTGTTTAAATAATAAATTTGATGTCTAATAACACAGTATGGCCACATCGCAATCACCACACTTTTGCAGTACTCTGTCACCCTTTTTAAGGTTTTTTTTTTACTTCAATGACTTCCATTCAGAGCTGTGATGCATTACTTATCTATTCCACTGTCTGTGTGCATTCCGTCCTCCGACGTAACATTTCGCTCATCTGTCCAACAAAACATATTGCACTCATCCATTTATTTAAAGCTATATTTGGGAAAGCCTAACAGCTCTGCTATAATTTCCGCTTTGGTTTGAGCTGAAAAATAAACATTCTACATCTTACGTCCACTTTGAAAACATCTCGTATACATTAGACTAAGCTGGAAAAGTTTACAGGGCCAGTATATGCCTTAGAGGGTGAAAAGACTCTTTGACAAAATACAACAGCACTCCGCTAAGGCAATAACTACAAAAAGGTTGATTTTTTCTGAAACATGCCTATTTTCAATGAAATTGTTAAGAATGTATAATGCAAAATTTATTTGTTATAAAAACAACGCAATATTTTGATTGAAACGATGCTAATAAATAATGATCAAAAATGATCAGATCTAAATGATTTCAGTTCATTCAGTATGGTGTATAGTAGTTGTTCAAATACCTTTGACCATTCCAAATGGACGCCTTGTTCGAGCCACTTGTGGCATCCTATAAAAGCTTAATTTCTTTTTGCGTGAAAACCAAACAAAAACAAATTTTGAAGAAAGAAAAAATAACGGTGGGAAACGCAACTTTAAAAAAGTGCATTTTCTGTCAAAGGTGTGATATGTATGTGCTAAGACTTATTTCAATGAAAATTTCTGTCGGCATCATTTGGTTATGGAAATTATGGCGATACACTGCGTATACAGAAAAAAAAACAACTAAATCAGACTCGTTCATGAAGGAACTTTGTAACAGCTTATGTTAAAATTAAAACTAAATATGAATTTCGCACCGAGTTTTCTTCTCTCTCGGTAACTTTTTTTATGGCTAGGTAAACGAACTCACACTGTTCGTAAGTTCAGATCAATAAAAAAGAATTTGTAGCCAGACAGACCCGGTCTATTCAAGACGCAAATCGACGATAAAAGCAAAAATTTTAAACGAAATTCAAACATTAACAAAAACAAACACCCAAAAAAACAAACAAATAGCCCAGCTGTAAAACGTATTTGGAACGGTACACTGTTTACAATATTAAATTTTAACTATAATAAATTTAACTCTACTCACTAAATAAACCCTTCAATCATTATACTTTATATATTAACACTCGAAAACATTTGGTTCATTGGTTTCGGTTCGACTTAGTCTATGATGAAGGCCATCACAGCTTCTGTCCTCGTGTGTAATACACACGCTCTCACACACACTCACACGCACACATACAGTCACACAGTCACACGCCACGCAGGCACGCCGCGGGCTCAGAGAGTTCGTCACAGGGGACACCGCGGCGCGGGTCGCGAGGGGGCCCTCGGAGGGGGCGGTCGGCTACGACCAGGGGGTTGCCGGGTTGCTCTGGAAGCTGTCCGAGCCGTGGCTCGGGTGCCTCCGGAGCAGCAGACCCTAGTTCTGGTCTTGCTGCGCCGCCGCCGCCGCCGCTGCCGCCTTCTGCGCCTGGGCCTGCTTCTCCTGCTCGTTGAGCTCCTTGATGGCCTGGATCTCCTTCTTGAGCTTCATCCGCCGATTCTGGAACCAGATCTTGATCTGTCTCTCGGTGAGGCACAGGGCGTGGGCCATCTCGATGCGCCGTCTCCGCGTCAGGTAGTGGTTGGTGTGGAACTCCTTCTCCAGCTCCAGGGTCTGGTAGCGGGTGTACGTTTGCCGTCCTCTCCGCCGCAGTCCGTTGGCACCTGCAACACGTGGGGGTGGCGGGTTAGATTAGCATTCCGCACAGTGTACCCGCGCCGTGCACTTCGGCCCCGCCGCGCTGCCGCGCAGCCGTGCAGCCGCGCCCGCCGCGCCTGCCGCCATTTCACGGTGCGATCATATATTCTGCGCCGCGGCGGGGAGGCTCGCTTCATAAACAAGATAATGACTTCATTTAGAGTTTCGGACGTAAATAACGTAAAAAGAAAGAGAATAGTTGGAGGGATGGCTTTATTTAGCCCATAATTTCGGAGCGGGGCCTTGTGGCCGTAAGTGGGGCCGCCGGCACCGCTGGGGCTCTTTTCGGCTTGCAGCGGTGGGTGTGGTCGCCCTGGGACTTCCCCCTCCCCTCCCCCTGTCGCCTCGGTGTTGCAACGGCCGAGCGAAGCGCGTACGGAGATTTTGTGCGGGAAGGGAAAGGCACGGCCTGCCTGCCCGGCCTGGCCAGCCTGGCAGGGTCGAGCGACTGCCGCACCAGCGTGTGGGTCTGCAGTGTAGTGGTCCGCACACGTCGCGCCCATGAATCAAAGTGATGGCCGCCTGTCGGTCAAACGTCCAATGGCCCCGCAGCCGGCCCTCCCGGCCGAGGGACCCGGAGGGGCCGCCGGCCCGACGGCCTGACAACGCCAAGGCCCTGCCAAAGGCAAGCCAGAGGCCCCGCCAATGGTCCTGCCAACAGGGCCATGCGTGAGAAACACATGGCGTCGTTTTGGCCCACTTTCGGAGCGTAATAACGAGGTGGCCGTCACGGAGGGCGCTAACTGCGTGGGACGCCCTCCACACTTGGGCCCTTCGCGCCCATCGGACCGCCGAGGATTTCCCTAGCAGCTGCGCGGCCGTCAGCGCTCTGTGATGAACGCACTTTGGCGCACGCTGGCCGCCCCGCCGTGCCGTGCCGACTGATGAAGAAATATCGCTTAATTTGAAGCCCAGTCTGTATGCGTGGCGTGTACATCATTTGCGTGGTTGCAAGCCGGCCCGGCTCCAGGGGCCGGGCGGGGCGGGGCGCAGGCGAGCCGGCTCGAGACGATATATTCCGTTTCTCATCTCCGAGTGTCCTGATTGGCTGAGCCCGCGACAGTGATGTATAGCCCGTTCACCGGCATGGCGGCGTGGTGAGGTTCGGCGTGGCGGGGCGGCGGGCCACACTTCTGCGCATCACTCATTCGTTTCCAGTTTTCGCCTGATTTATCGAGACACGGCGTGGAACGGAGCCCTTCCGACCGTCCGTCCTGGTCCGGGCCGTCCAGACCCGGCCGCCGCGGGCGATGAGTGATTCCGTGATTGGCTGCCCTGCTTCCTACACCGCGAGGAGGCGACCCTGGCCGTGCCGAGCCGAGCGGGCCGCCGAGCGCGGCCGAGGCGGGGCGGCCGCTGCAGCCGGAGGCCGAGCCGGGCCTTTATCAGCTGGGCGCAATCTGGCCGCCTGCATTAGCTCAGCCTCTGCATTCGCCTCAGACAAACATGGAGCACCGGGGGGAGGGGGCCCGGCCGGACCAAAGCGCGGGGTAAACGTTGCCTATTGCAAAGTTAACAAGAAAAACAAGCCTATGTTCGCGTAAGGACATGCGCGCGCGGCGGCGGCGGGGCAAACCAGCTGGGTGACATTTTGTTTTGTGGAAACAAAACTAACAACAAAGAGGGCCTCTAAACAGTGTATTGAATAACAACTAGAAAAGTTTTTTTTAATTGAAAGCAGCAGGGGGGACCGGCTTGAATATCGATAGAGAGCGGGAAAAATGGAAGGGCGCCGTGTGATGTATAGAGCCGCTTTCCAGAGATGCATCATGCTCTGCAGCGCGGCGGCAGCGCGGCGGCAGCACCCCTGATGGGCCGTTCCCCGTTTTCGAAGCTTCTCCGTGATTTCGGGGCCGATAAGGCTGCGGACAAGGCGGCCGCAGAGCCGTGATGGCTTCGCTGCTTCCCCTGCCCTGCCCTCCCCCTCCCCCTGACTTTGAAGGCGAGGCGGCCGATGCACCGACTCCTTTCCCGAACCGTTTCGGGCGTGCGAAAATAATGGTTTGCGACCGTGTAGCTCACCTGAGCCCCCACCCCTGCGCCCCTCCTGTCAGATTAAGCTATTACGGCGCCCATGCCAACGCGGCTCGGGTCAATGGTCCGACTCACGAACACTGCAGCGGCGCGGCGGCGCGGCCCGAGGCTTTGGCAGCAGCCCGCACTGGAAATCGAACCGCTCCAACCGATACGTGCACGCGAAAACAAGCGGCCATACCCGCTCGCTCATTTTTGCTCCATTTTTTCGGGCAGTGGCGCTCGTTGCCCCAAACTTCCGCGCCGCGCAGGGGAGTGTATCCCGGAGGTGCGAGGAGGGGAGGAGGGGTGCCGGCCGCCCCGGGGCCTGCCTGGGGCCTGGGGCCCTGCAAGGTCGACTGGCTCTGGACATGAAGGGGGCGTAGTTCCACCTAGTTCCGCGCGGCGTGGCGGCCCGGCGCGGCGTGGGGCTGAAGCCGTTCCGGGTCACACCTCGGCTCCCACATGTTCGTCTCGTGCCATGTGGCCGGCCAATTGAAACTCTCGGCGCCACGCTCTGCCTGCGCCCTGGCCGCCCTGTCACGCCACGCCCTGCCACGCCCTGCCACGCCCTGCCTACGCCACTGGCGCCCTCATCCAGGCCTCATTATCCAGGCCCAAAAGTCCCGCCTTTTTGGTCGCCGAATAATTGCACTGATTAGGGGCGGGACGGGGGGGGGGAGGGGAGGGAACGCCCTTCGAATTGGGTACAAACGAGGCCCAAGGGGTTGCCGCGCGGGATTTTCGGTAGGTGGAGGGGGCGGAGGGGGCGGAGTACATGCAAGGAACTTCTTATCGGCTCAGAGTTCCACTTGGCTTGGCAAGTGAGCGCTTAGAGTGAGCGCGCACGCCCCTGGGGCTTGCGCAGCTTGCGTGGCTTGCGAAGCACTAAGCCTCCACCTACCCCCGACGTCCGATCCGGCGCGGCGCGACCTCCGTTTGGCGAACCGCGGAAAAAACGAGGATCGTCGAGGGGGAATTAGTGTAGCCGCCATGGCGGGCCCTTGTTCCAAAGGGCGGCGTGGCCGCGGCCCTTCGGACCGAGCCTCGCGTGCCGGCACACCGCGACAGGCCGCTCGGTCGGCATCCTTCGGCGTCCTTCGCCATCCCTCGGCATCGAGAGCATATTAAGCCATAAATCGGCTTTGATCGCAGCGCTGCGCAACGGGCGAACCTCGAACCACGACCGACCGCCGCGGCGCCGCGCTGTGCCTCGCGCTGTGCGGTGTGGTCGGCAGGGGGCCAAGAAAGCCCCGTGCGCGCTAACTATATACATTTCCAAGTGCCAGGCCGGGGGAGAGGAAGGGGGAGGGGGGGAAGAGGAAGTGGGCGCCGGACGACGAATTTGAGGGGTAAATAAGTAATGGAGCATCAAGCGGGTCGAACTCGTAAGTCAGCGCGAGCGGACGGACGAACTGGACGGACGGAGCAGCGACTGGCGCCGGCCAGAGGAACGAGACCGCAGTCTGAAAAACGAGTTTTAGTTTTTTTCGGTTGTGCTTTCGAACGCAGCAAACTATACTACGCCGGTGTGCCACGTCTGGTGGCGCGCGCTGGCATATGTAGTCCGGAGCACGTTCTTGGAATGAATGTGGCAGAGAGAGGGAGAGAGAGAGAGAGAGAGAGAGAGAGAGAGAGAGAGAGAGAGAGAGAGAGAGAGAGAGAGAGAGAGAGAGAGGGAAGGGGCAGGTAGAGAAAGGAACAAAAAGGGAGGCTCCGCAATTTACGGACGGCCAACCCCCTCCATTTGCACGGCACGCGCGCATGTGCGTAATTTTTGCGTCTGTGTGCGTGTCTTCAAGGACGGGGGCGGCGGTCCCGCGCACTGGCACACATCTAAAACACTAAAACAAACCCCTTCCCCTTGCGCGTCTCGCCCGTGTGTTTCGCACGGGCAAATATTTCCCTTCAATTGCCTTCGGTAAACACGTTGCGCGACGTCCGCACACACGCGCGCGCACACACACACGCACACACAGGCGGGCGGCCTGGAAACGATACGGGAAAAGCGCTTGCACCGATCGAGCGAGAATAAGGAAGCACTTGCTGAGGCCCACAGTTATCTGTGAAAACGACACAGAGCGGCCCGGCCGGCCGGCCTGGCCGATGAGGGGTGCTTCCCGGAAAGGTGCGGATTCAGCCGCCCAGCCCGCCGCCATCCTCTGTCTCTCTCGCACCGCCACGGGCCGCGCCGTGAGTGCGAGGGAGAGAGCCTCGCTATAACGGTACGGGGTGCTGGGTGCTCCCATTATGCTGTCGTGTGCGGTCACCTGCGCGTCGTCGGGGACCTTCCAGGACCTTCCAACGGCCCGCGGCGTTTTGCCGGCCCTTTCTCTGCTCTTTGTGGGCCCTTTTATTGTTTTATTGAGCCTCGGCCGCACCTTGAAAGGGCTCCCCGCAGCTCGCCCGGCCCGTCCCGCTTGTTGCGCAATCTGGAGCACACTGTGGGCCAGTCACTTTTGTTGCCACCAAAAAGCGCGCAGTGCACGGTGTGCGGTCAATTTTTGTCCCTCGCAAGAGAAAAAAAAACTGCAACGACAAAAGGCAGCAAACTTTCACCCACGCCGGCTTCGCGAGCGGATGCAGCGCAGAAGATGCAGCGCACTCTGCAGAAGACGCTGTCGGGACGCGCGTCACCTTGACAGAGGCGGGGATCGGATTGGAAAGGAGTCGGCGGCCATGTGTCGCGAAGGGGAGGGTGGCCGCTGCAGGGCGGCCGGGGCCTGCGCGAATCGTACACTACTCCAGCCAATTAAACTGGGGCCATAAATCGCCGCGGAGGGACAAGAAGGGGAGACGCAGCCACCAAAAAATGACTTGAGATAGTGCAGGCGACCAAACTACTCAACCGGAGGAGAAGGAGCAGAGACAGAAAAAACTGAAGAAGGAAATGAAAACGCCACCATTAGACCTAACCTCGACAAAACAACGAAGCGACAGGTATTATTGGTATAATAGGCTAATTTTGTTACTGATGGTGTAATCTTTTCTCTTTTTTTTTTCGAGCTTCTTTTTTTTTCTAAGTAGAGCAACTCGTGGTGGCCACTTTTCACTGCTGGAGACACCCCACCACAGTGCACGTAGCAGCGCACAAGCCCCTCCCGAAACTTGCCCCTCCCGCGCCCTCAAAGACCACAACACAAAACGTACAGTCCCGCACACACACACACACACACAGGCAGACACACACATACACACACACACACCCCTGGCGGTCTTGAATAACGCATCCCTAATCCAGCCAGGGCTTAATCTAACAGCAGACACGTACTCCAGTCTCGCGAGCCCCGCGCGCCCCGCACGCCCCTTGTCTCTGAGGGACTTAGTTGAACCGAGACTTTGCACGGAGATTAACGAACCCAAAGGACAGCCCCTTTGTCACTTCAGGCCCCGTTTCTTGCCCAGGAAAGAAAAAAAAGACAGGCGACGACGAACAAACTTGAACGATTTTGCTATACCCCCTTTCCCTCAAACGATGTGATTGCAAGAGCTCGCTACCTGACTGTGTGTGTGTGTGAGCGCACGTGTCTGTGTGTGCGTGTGTGTGGTGGGGGTGAGCCCCCGCGGCCCCGCTCCGCTAATTGTGAGCTAATTGTCTTTACGACGGTTCAGATCGAAAACCAAGTTAGCCCCGTCCTCCCCTAGGTGCGAGCGTGATAGCGTGATGTGGAGGGGAGCGCCAATGAAGTGACTGAATCCTTGGCCCTCTTGCGGTAACGCCGATTGCCTACTTCCTACACCTCAAGCCGGACCCCGTACCACCCGCACCAAGCGATGCTGTTAGAAGCGGTTGCACTTTGATGCCTTCATCGAGGCCTTTCCGTTTGGGGGAGGCGCCTCGCGGCAGCAACAACAACACGCCTCCTTGGTGTTGTTGTTGTTGTTGCTGAGCGTCGCGCCTTCCCGGCAATCACGTATGTAAATCACTTAAGGCGCATTGCACGAGGCGCATCACTAGAAGTACAGGTTAAAAAAAATAATTCGAGACCACATCTTAAAATTTTTTTTGAAATAATTGATTTGTTGTTAGGATAGAAAAATATAGAGAAAGGTTAGATTCAAAACCAACGTCACCACATCCATGCGTAAAACGGTCCTGGCTCGCTTTTGTCTGGCGAAACTCGGTCTCCGCTAAGATGTGACTCACCAAAGCACCCACCTGGAACAGACAGAGAGAGAGACAGTCGATAAGTGAATCGGTCGCGATTGGTTCAATTGATTCAATGCACCTCATCCGCTGGCCCATTCATTCATTAGGGGCCGCAGCGCGGGGAGGCAATGTTGACAAAGGACGTGATTATGTGGTTCTTATTAGTGGGGTCCGCGACGACTGTTGCGGACTGCGCCACAGTGTGCCACAATCGTCATAACAATGGCCGGCCACGTGTCGCGCACGCCAACACCGCCAACGCGAGGCCTGGAGCGCGGCCAGGACGATGACGGCCGCCGGTATAAATTGACAGGTACACTGCCGAAAGAGCGTCGCCACGGGGACCTCGATGCGCGAGCTACTGGCGTAAAAGGAGCGACCCGATGAACGAAACCCAGCCCCGCCGAGTCCTTTTCTCTCAGAGTTGACCCGAGCGGCCCGAGCGGCCATGGCCGCCGCGCGAGAGCAACATGGAGTGCGAGAAGGCGGCGCAAGGCTGCCTGCTCGGTCCGACCGGCCGCCCGCCTCGCCCGCTGGCTGGCTGGCTGGCTGGCTGCCTGGCGTGCCGACCCGTGGAGGACCTCTAGGACCCCGGAGGCTGTGTTGGGATTCATGGTTCGGTCGAAACATGATGAAGAGATTACTGCAGGCGCATGCGTTCGAAAGGTGGGAGTGCAGGAGAGAGGGAGGGAGAGAGGGAGGGAGAGAGGTAGAGAGAGGGGAGAGGGGGAGGGGGGGAGGGGGATGTTTACGGCGCAGACGTGCGCCATGCAGCTCGCTCTTTGAGGTGCCGCGCGCTGCCATTTCGAAAATTTGAATTTCCCCTTCTCTTTTTCCTCCCGCATTTTCGTTTTTTTTGGCAGTGTGATCGCGGCGTTTTCGTGCAGCGATGTCGGTACTCCACACTGTGCCCTGGTGCTGACGCCACGCCACTCGTGACGTGAGAAAAGGTTGCCTTTCTCCTCGTGACCCACGCGCCATCTCAAAACGATGACCTACCCCAACACGGCACTCTCCTTGACACTGTTAGGCCCAGCGTTCCGTGCTCTACAATCCTGCCATGGGGCTCGAATCAAACACGTGAGTGGATTGCGCATCGCAAGAGTAGTGTTCTGGTTCCATTGCGTGTTCAACGCAAGTCCCTTCCAAGGGACAGTCGAGCCAAAAACGCGGTGCCAGAGAGGGACTCTGAATTTTCGTCGCCACCTGCGGACCGCAGCCATATTCTTGTGGCGTCAAATTGGCGACCATTAATGCAACATTTAGTATGCAGTCGGCGTGTCGTCTGATTGGCCAGGGAGTCCCCCCCCCCTTTTCCTCGCTTGATTGGCGCGGGCCCTTTTAGCGCGCGAACTTCCTCCGTTTTTGTCTTTGCCCCTCCCTCCCCCCCTCCCCCTCGCCTTCCGCGCGCCGCCGTCGCGCTGCAAGCCCGGAATGAATTCGCACGCAATTTAAATATACATGCTACATAGACAGAATGAGAGAAAAGAGAGAGATAGAGACCGACGGAGAAAAGAGGGAGACGAAAAAAAAGACCTGGAAAGGAATTGCGTCGCGTCGCAGCAGATTTCGTTTATCTGCCTGGACCCTCCGCGATTTCTTCTACCTAGCCAGTTTATCTCCAAGTGTGTATAATGATTATTCATGAAGCAGCCGAACTAATTAATCCAAATCCATTCCTTTTTTCCGCTATCTCTCTCTCTCTCTCTTTCTCTCTCCTCTTTCCCGGTTTCCTTTCCGATTTCCCTTTGTCACTTTTTCGCGGGCGGTGCGTGTACCGTGCTGCCTGCCGATAAAGTACTGGAATTTTAATTGGGATTTACTGAACGCGGCTCGCCTCTATCGCGCGGCTTTCGAAAACGTGTCCACGGCGGTACAGTGGTAGCGGTCCAGCGCGGCACCGCGGGACGGGAAATACCTTTTTCCGGGGGATTCTGAAAACAACACGCTAACAATATTACGATAAAAAGACAGCAATCAAGAATTATAATTTTTAGCTCGAATTTAACACACTGTAATGGCCTTTGGCGGCGCCGCCCCGCCGCCGCGGCCATTCCGGCCTTCTAATGGCGCCGCGAAACGTTTTTTTTCGAGAGGGTGGAAGACGAGCCGAAGGAGAATAAACAACAAGGACGAGCAGGCGAGAGCTCTCCAAATCCCTCAAGAATTGGCTGCCGGAGGGTCGTTGAGTCATTAAAAAACGGACGACCGGCTGACTTGCGGGTGGAATGGGACGGGGGAAGTATTTAGAGAGGCTTGGCGGCGCTCGGCGGGGAAAGGACGAAAAAGTGGCCGGAACAGCGGAAGGCGCGACCCCAAGAACACGAAACGCTCACGGTGACGTCATTTGATGTCAATTTGACTAATTTTAGTCAATATTTTGACGAAAAATATCGTCTTTCTGACGCCTCGTTGACATCCTTTGACTGCTTCGTGAGCGTTTTGTGTTTCTTGGGGAGGGCTGGCAGGTTGGTCCGCCGCGGGGCGCGTGTTGTGTGAGAAATCGACGGCAACACGCTCGGACCGCGATTGCTCGGCCCCTGAATCACTGCCGGATACAATAATCCGAGTCATTCCGGGCGAGAATGAAGTTGTCAGAAGCAAATCGTTTCTCAGCGAGAGCGAGCAAAAGAGAGAGAGAGAGAGAGAGAGAGAGAGAGAGAGAGAGAGAGAGAGAGAGAGAGAGAGAGAGAGAGAGAGAGAGAGAGAGAGAGGCACCGCATTGATGGGGTGGCGTAACCTGATAAAACTGAGTGGGTATTGCGGGGTGGCGGAGCAGAAGGGAAGGAGAAGAAGGCAGAAAGAAGAGAGATAGTTTGTCTTGTCGTGGCTGCCGCCGCGCGCGACCCCAGGGTGACCGCCCTCCGGCCTGCAGCCCCGCAGCCCCGCGGCCCCAGGAGAGGGAAGGGCGGAGTATAAGTCATGGACGGGTCCTGTGTTCCTTCCCGTTTAATCCGACGGAAAATTGGCCGGCCCACCCCGCCCCGCCCCGCCCCGCCCCGTGACTGATTTCTGCAGCAGCAGCAACATGGCAGCAGCCCGCCCCGATGTACTAATAATTGCCGCAGCGTCCCAGTGCGTCCCCGGGGCGGGGCGGGGCGGGGCGGGGCGGCCAGAAGACTCAGTTTGCCGCTTTTGTTTCAAGCCAGGCCGTATACCGAGGGGGAGAGGCCTATAAATCCGCCTTGTAAAACTTACACCCCTTTTCTGCCATTAATTAGCCGAGGCGGCGTTTTGGTGGGCGTTTGCGGGCTGGGAAATGCAAACCCTTTTCCCGGCCGCGGGACGCGTCCCCACAGTGTGCCCACCACACCGCCCCGCGCGGGGGCAGTCCGAATCCGACGCCCTTTTTCTCGGCCTCCATGACGGCCGGCCCCCGCTAATCTCCAGGCAGCGCGCGGCACCACGACTCAAACACGGAGACGCGGGCGCCATCGAGGAAATCGCTTGCTCAGGTCTCTGCAAGCAGCTTCAACTAAGTGCAAAATAATTAACGGATGCGCCCGCTTGCAGCGCTCATCGCAACAAAAGGTCAGGAGAGGTAAAAGGACTAGTTTTGCCGTTATCGTAGCCTCCCGATCACGCTGCCCCACGGCCCCCACCACCACCACACTCCCCCCGCGTAGCTCAAATAATGCCGCATCGTGTGTGTGTGTGTGTGTGTGTGTGTGTGTGTGTGCAAACATAATTCACTCGGCTCCCGGAGACAAACTGCTGCTTCTGCGGCCAATTCGTGCAAAAGGCCGCAGACTGGCGGAGCTTGGCGCGTGCGCACGCATTAGTGATAACGCCGTGCTCGCCTGCAGCGCCTTGATAAGACTCGCGGTGGGCCTCCCTGCCATTTTTATTTTATTTTCTTCACTCTATTTTCCCCGGCAGGAAGCGGCGAGGAAGATTAATTTCTCTAAGCGTTTGCTGAACAGTGTAGTACTGTAGTGCAGTGTAATTGACTTTTTATTTTTTTTTGTCGTCAGGCTCCGCGGTTGGTGGTGCCGTGAGATGGACTATGACGAGGTTCCCTAAAGGGGAAGAGAGAAGAACTCGTGCTAATGCAAGGTGGCCGCTTCTGCATACCACTGCGCCCCTTGCGTCGTCGTGTGTGGCCACCGGCAGCCGGGGTGCGTAGCGGGGCCGCACACACACACACACACACACACGTATACACACACGGGCTGGCGCCTTTCCGGCATTAAATAATTTCATACTACATGCTCCCGGCTGTATTATCCTGCCGATGATTGCGCGCTGTCCTCCTGGCGGTGGTCCTGAAGTACGTGAAGAGGAAGGAGTCGCGGAAATCTGCGACCTGGCCGCCCCGCCCGGCAGCCCAGCCGCACAGTGGGCCAGAAGACCGGCGGAAGGCGGACAAAACTCAAGGAGCGTTTTGAGCTCCAGGGTCGCTGAACAGGCCTCCAACCGAGCGTGTAAGACCCCACCAATGGATTCCTCGTTCGGAGAGCAATCCATTGGTGGGGTCATACGTCCGGTTCGAGGCCTTTTTAGTGACTCTGGAGGTCAAAACGCGTCTGGAGTTTTGTCCGCCTGCACCGGTCTTCTGGCCCACTGTGCGGCCGCCCAACCGGGCCGCCCGGCCGGGCAAACAGACGGCCAAACCACCGGGCGCGTCGGCCGCGTCGGTGGAGGTGCGCGAGACGGGCGGCGCCGGTGAAGCGCGAGCGCAGATTACACACTAAATGTCGCTTTTACGAGTGGACGTTACCCACCGTGTAAACACGCATAAAACACGCGCACACACACAGACACGCGCGTGACGTCACCTCGTAAAGTGACGTCACCGCGCGACCTGCCCCAACGGGAGGCGTGCGCGTGCGGCGGCGCGCGTCTTACGACGTGTTGTGCGCATTGCCGGCTGGCCGGACCCGACAATTTTATGGCGGATCGTAAAATTCTCGGCCGCTCGCCCCTCCACTGCCTCTTTCTCTCTCGCTCCCTTTCACCGCCCGTTGCTTCCCGCCGTCCATGGCCGCTGGGCGCGCTGGGCGCCGGGC